TCAGAAGGAATGGTACCAGCTCCTCTTTGTATGTCTGGTAGAATTCGGCTGTGAACCCGTCTGGACCTGGGCTTTTTTTGGGTGGTAGGCTGTTAATTGCTGCCTCAACTTCAGACCTTGTTATTGTTCTATTCAGGGTTTCAACTTCTTCCTGGTTGAGGCTTGGGAGGATGCAAGTGTCCAGGAATTTACCCATTTCTTCCAGGTTTACTAGTTTATGTGCATAGAGTTCTTTGTAATAATCTCTGATGATGGTTTGAATTTCTGTGGAATCTGTGGTGATATCCCCTTTATCGTTTTTTATTCCATCAATTTGGTTATTCTCTTTTCTTTTTTATTAATCTGGCTAGTGGTCTATTTTGTTGATCTTTTCGAAAAACCAGCTGCTGGATTTATTGATTTTTTGAAGGGTTTTTTGTGTCTCTATCTCCTTCATTTCTGCTCTGATCTTAGTTATTTCTTATCTTCTGCTAGGTTTTCAGTTTTTTTGATGTTGCTCCTCTAGCTCTTTCAATTTTGATGATAGGGTGTCAATTTTCGATCTCTCCTTGCTTCTCATGTGGGCAGTTATTGCTGTATATTTTCCTCTAGAGACTGCTTTAAATGTGTCCCTGAGATTCTGGTATGTTGTGTCTTCATTCTCGTTGGTTTCGAAGAACATCTTTATTTCTGCCTTCATTTCATTGTTTATTCAGTCAACATTCAAAAGCAAGTTGTTCAGTTTCCATGAAGCTGTGTGGTTCTGAGTTAGTTTCTGAATTCTGAGTTCTAACTTGATTGCACTGTGGTCTGAGAGACTTTGTTATGATATCCGTTCTTTTGCATTTGCTGAGGACTGATTTACTTCCAATTATGTGGTCAATTTTAGAGTATGTGTGATGTGGATTTGGGGTGGAGAGTTCTGTAAATGTCTATTAAGTTTGCTTGGTCCAGGTCTGAGTTCAAGTCCTGGATATCCTTGTTAATTTTCTGTCTTGTTGACCTGTCTAATATTGACAATGGAGTGTTAACGTCTCTCACTACTATTGTGTGGGAGTCTAAGTCTCTTTGTAAGTCATTAGGAACTTGCCTTATGTATCTGGGTGCTCCTGTATTGAGTGTGTATATATTTAGGATCGTTAGCTCTTCTTGTTGCATTGATCCTTTTACCATTATGTAATGTCCTTTTTTGTCTCTTTTGATGTTTGTTGGTTTAAAGTCTATTTTATCAGAGACGAGAATTGCAACTCCTGCTTTTTTTCCTCTCCATTTGCTTTCTAAATCTTCCTCCATCCCTTTATTTTGAGCCTTTGTGTATCCTTGCATGTGAGATGGGTTTCCTGGATACAGCACACCAATGGGTTTTGGCTTTTTATCCAGTTTGCCAGTCTGTGTCTTTTGATTGGGCCATTTAGTCCATTTACATTTAGGGTTAATATTATTATGTGTGAATTTGATACTACCATTTTGTTGCTAGCTGGCTGTTTTGCCCATTAGTTGATGCAGATTCTTCATTGTGTTGATTCTCTTCACCCTTTGGTATATTTTTGGAGTGGCTGGTACTGGTTGTTCCTTTCTATGTGTAGAGCCTCTTTCATGAGCTCTTGTAAAGCAAGCCTGGTGGTGATGAAATCTCTGAGTACTTGATTGTTCACAAAGGATTTTATTTTTCCTTCACCTATGAAGCTTAGTTTGGCTGGATAGGAGATTCTGGGTTGAAAGTTCTTTTCTTTAAGGATGTTGAATATTGGCCCCCTCTCTCTTCTGTGTAGGGTTTCTGCTGAGAGATCTGCTGTGAGTCTGATGGGCTTCCATTTGTGAGTAACCCGACCTTTCTCTCTGACTGCCCTTAGCATTTTCTCCTTCATTTCAACCCTGGTGAATCTGACGATTATGTGCCTTGGGGTTGCTCTTCTTGAGGAATATCTTTGTGGTGTTCTCTGTATTTCCTGGACTTAAATATTGGCCTGCCTTGCTAGGTTGGGGAAGTTTTCCTGGATAATATCCTGAAGAGTATTTTCCAGCTTGGGTTCATTCTCTTCATCACATTCAGGTACACCTATCAGATGTAGATTAGGTCTTTTCACATAGCCCCACATTTCTTGGAGACTTTGTTCATTCCTTTTTACCCCTTTTTATCTAATCTTGCCTTCTCGTTTTATTTCATTGAGTTGATCTTCGACCTCTGATATCCTTTCTTCTGCTTGGTCAATTCGGCTATTGAAACTTGTGCATGCTTCGTGAAGTTCTTGTTTTGTGTTTTTCAGTTCCATCAATTCACTTATATTCCTCTGTAAGTTGTCCATTCTCGTTAGCATTTCGTCAAATCTTTTTTCAAGGTTCATAGTTTCTTTGCATTGGGCTAGAACATGTTCTTTTAGCTCACAGAAGTTTCTTATTACCTACCTTCTGAAGCCTGATTCTGTCATTTCATCACACTCATTCTCCACCCAGTCTTGTTCCCTTGCTGGTGAGGAGTTGTGACCCCTTGTAAGAGGAGAGGTGTTCTGGTTTCAGGTGTTTTCATCCTTTTTGTGCTGGTTTCTTCCCATCTTTGTGGATTTATCCACCTGTCATCTTTGTAGTTGCTGTCTTTCAGATTGGGTCTCTGAGTGGATGTTCTGTTTGTTGACAATGAAGTTATTTCTGTATCTTAGTTTTCCTTCTAGGAGTCTGGCCCCTCTGCTGTAGGATTGCTGAGGTCCACTCCAGGCCCTGCTTGCCTGGGGATCACCTGCAGCAGCTGCAGAACACTAAGGGTTGCTACCAGTTTCTTCTTCTGGTATCTTCGTCCCAGAATGATACCCGCCAGATGTCAGTCTGATCTCTCCTTTATGAGGTGACTCTTTGGATATACGGGGTCAGGGAGCTGCTTGAGGAGACAGTCTGACGTTTATAGGAGCTCAAGTGTTGAGCTGTGAGCTCCGTTGTTCATTCAGAGCTGCTGGGCAGGTACGTTTGGGTCTGCTGCAGAACTCATAAACCCCTTTTTATCCCCAGGTGCTCTGTCCCAGGGAGTTAGGGCTTTATTTATGGGTTTCCGTTGTGCTGCTGCCTTTTTTTTCAGGGCTGCCGTGCCCAGCAAGGAGGCAGCCTAGTCAATGTCTGCCAGCAGAGGCTTTACTGAGCTGCTGTGTGCTCCACCCAGCTGCCGTGTGAACTTCCCTGCAGTCCTGTTTATATAGGTATAGTTAGAACTGCCTCAGCAATGGTGGCCCACCTCTGTAATGGCAGGTTGCCTCGGCAACGGCGGGCTGCCTCAGCAATGGCAGACTACCTCTGTAGTGTTGGAGTGCCTCGGTAATGGCGGACACCCCTCACCCACAAAGCTGGACCATCCTGGGTTCAGCTGTGCTTGCTGTGAAACTCTCAACCCAGAGCATTTCCATTTGCTGTTTTCTTTTTTTGTGTGTGTGGGGTGGGACCAGCCGAGCCTGGTCATCACCTGGCTCCCTGCATCTGAGCCTTTTTTTTTTTTTTCCAGTTGAACGGCTGACTCTCCCAGTGGAACAGATGTTCCAGTTGCCTGTTCAAAAGGCACCAGGATCTGTGTGATTTCCCCTGTGGCGACTCACTGCACCGGCTGAAACAGTGGCGCTGAGATTCGTGGGGCTTTTTTTGCTTGGGAATCTCCTGGCCTGGCTCCCTGTTTCAGTCCCCTTTTAAATCAGATGAATGGGTGACTGTGCCTTCCTGGGGCTCCAATCGCCAGCTAAAAGGGCACCTGGACCAGTGTATTTTGTATGGAGAACCACCGCGCCAGGGCACTGGCAAAGCAGTCATGCCGGCCAGTACAGCCACGCTGGCTGGCGACCTGTGGGGCTCCTCCGTCTGGGAATCTCTTGGTCTGTGGGCAATAAAAATCTGGAAATGTGACATCCACTCACCCTCTGCACTTTCACTGGGAGCTGCAATCCTGAGCTCTTCCTAAATGGCCATCTTGGACGTATCTCTCGGGACCATACATTTTTAAATGACTGGATCTCACAAGAACTCACTCACTAACACGAGAATAGTACCAAGGAGATGGCACTAAATTATTTATGAGCAACCACCCTCATGATCCAATCACCTCCCACCAGGAGATGTAAATAGAGACACAGATCCATAGGACCATATCATATCATGAAGTTAATTTCTTAACTGGCTTGTACATCTAAAGTTTCTTCTTACACTTTTCAAATATTTGTGTAAGTTGTTCCCTTTGCTTGTTAAAATTTCCAGCTCTTGTAAATCTTGCCAGGTCTGTGATATTTTTGTTAGAAGGATATGCCATCCCATAATTGATCAATAAATTCAGTACTAGTTTAAAAACCAAGAATGAGTGTCATCAACAAATTCCCAATTTTATTGAATTCTTAAATGATAGAAAGTGCTTTTAAAACTCAGAATCAACAGACACATCGGACAAGAAGATGTTCTGGGGCAAACCTCAAAGGGACAATTGTTGATCTACAGTCTCATCATCTAGGCTGGAAACTCCTCCCTCCCTACATAGCCCTTCTTCCCCTCTCTGCTATCCTTTTTTCCATCCTTGCCTTCACTTAGATGAATAGCAGTTCTTGGTGGTTCTTGTCCACAGACTCTGATAGTGAATGTTAGCACTAGAGACAGAAACTCGGAAAGGTTCCAAGAGAGCCAAGGACTCCAGATCAGAATAGACAGCACTGAGGAGAGGGCCAGCAAGCTAGAATGAAGTGTATCAAGTGTGATCTACAGAGCAGCTGCATCAATTTACCTGGAGTGCTTCTTAAAAATGCAGATTTCTGGAGCCTATACTAGATGCACTGTATCAAAGTCTCTAGCAGTCTCATTTCCAGGAATCCAGATGTTTAACAAACTTCACAGGTGAATGTTGTGACTCAAGTGTGGTCTTCACATCAGCAGCATCGACATCACCTGGGAGCTTGTGAGAAATTCATAATCTCAGGCAGACATCAGTCTTACTCAATCTTAAGATTCCCTGGTGATTTGTATGCACATTAGCAGTTGAGGAGCACTGATTTTCTGATTCATTGCAGCAGCAGAAGGCTTTGGATTGTGAATTTCAACACTATTAATGGAGCAATTGAAATAGCAGCCACCCAAAAAGTGGCTTGCTGTTGTACTGATCAGATCTTCCAGTGACTTCTCTCCTTGAAAGGTATTTGAGCCACGCTAGTTCCTTTGGATTGAGCAAATCCTAGGATTCATTGGAATAATTTGGGGGTAGAAAAGGGAAACCTCAAGGACTTCTTAGAAATCATAAACTGTTTTACAGGCTAGCACTAGTGTCTTACCCATCATGAGGACAAAATGTAAAGGGGCACCAAAAACCTCTGTAATCAAGATACATCATGTTTTAGTGAAATGTTTTTAAAATTTAAAAAACTATGTGAAAATATCCAGGATTAACAAAATATAAAAATTTTAAATAAAAGCAGGATAAACATGACAGATTTTTCCTATTGCTTCAGACTTCAGTAGGGCTTGGAATGGCACTATTACTAACCCTGTATTTAAATGTTGATACTTTATTCATAATAAATTTGTTTGCATTAATGTATTAGATATTGCATTGAAATAGTGTCTATCTTAATCACTGAGTTACTTGATACATGCCTCCTTATATTTTGCACCCAAGGTGAGTGCCTCATTCCTCTCATCCTAGTCATGGCCCTCCTCTCTCACCAGTGTGTACAACACACTAATGCACACAATCATGTGCTGTACTTTAACTTGACCCAGATTTATAGACAGCTAAGACTTTCCCGGGCATTTCCAGCTCACTTAACCAAAGTTCACCTTTCTTTAAGACAAATCACAGTCTAGTAGCTAATTCAGGCTCTGGAAGCTGATTGTCTTTGTTCCAGATATGGCTCTATTACTTAGAGAGGGTGGCCTTAGACAAGGTATTTAACCTCTCTAGGTCACTGCTCATCTATAAAATAAGTAAAATAACAGTACCTCAGAGAATTGGTGTGAAGTAACATACAAAGTGTTTATCACAGTACCTGACACATAGTAATCATAAAGTATTTTCTCTATAATTACTGTTTAATATGGTTTAGCTCTGTGTCCCCACCCAAATCTCATGTCAAATTGTAATCCCCAGTGTTGGCGGAGGGGCCTGGTTGGAGGTGATTCAATCATGGGGATGGTTTATAATGGTTTAGCGCCATCCCCCTAGTGCTGTCTTGTCATAGAGTTCTCCTGAGATCTGCTCATTTAAAAGTGTGCAGCACACCCCCTTCCTCTCTCTCCTGCAGGCCATGTGAAGATATACCTGCTTTCCCTTTGCCTGTCACCATTACTGCACATTTTCTGAAGCCTCCCCAACAGCAGAAGCCTGTACAGCCTGCAGAACCATGAGCCAATTACAATTTTTTAAATGAATTACCCAGTCTCAGGCATGTCTTTATAGCAGGGTGAGAATGGACTAATACACTGTTTTTGTTACTATCCTGGATCCTGATAAGACTTTGCCTTACAATTCTTTTAGTCACTGAAAAAGCCAACCACTGTGTGTTTGATCTCAGTTTCCTCTTTAGTTTTCATCTTTTTTTTTTTTTTTTGAGATGGAGTCTCACTCTGCCACCCAGGGTGGAGAGCAGTGACACAATCTCAGCTCACTGCAACCTCCACCTCCTGAGTTCAAGCGATTCTCTTGCCTTAGTCTCCCGAGTAGCTGGGATTACAGGCATGAGCCACCACACCAGTTAATCTTTGTGTTTTTAGTAGAAATGGGGTTTCACCCTGTTGGCCAGGCTGGTCTCGAACTCCTGACCCCAGGCGATCTGCCCACCTCGGCCTCCCAAAGTGCTGGGATTACAGATGAAAGCCACTGCACCTAGCCTAGTTTCCATCTTGAAACTATGCTTAAAATCCCCTATACCTTAACTTTATTAGATTATTCCCCAAGGCACATCTTTCTTGGCAAAAAAATGAAGACAGTTTTGTATACTAACAACTATTAACTATTAATACTCTGGAAGCTTCTCCTGTTTTTTTTTTTTTTTAAGAGCCTGTTTTAAATTTTAAAAACTTTTTAGTATTGAAATATTCAAAATACACATAAAAGTGAGGAGAATAATGTAATGAATTCCCCTTGGACTTATCACCCAGCTTCAAGAGTTATCATCACCTTCTTAATCTTGGTTCATCTCTCTTCCTCTCCACTCACACATAGTTTTTTTCTAGAGTACTGAAAAAATTTCAGACATCATCTCATTTAACCCATAAATACTTCAATATCTGAAAGCTTTTTGAACCTAAATTCATCAAAAAAATGATGAATTTAGATGAAAACTCTTACATAATCCTAGTAATACACAATGTAACTGATTTTACTATTCTACCATGGTATCTATGCGCTTTCTTTGACGTCACATGGAGCTGGGGTAGAGAGAACAACCGATTCTTTTTCCTGAAGTACAGCAAATGGAAAATTTCAAACGTGGGTCATAAAATGGGACCCAAGTCAGAGATGACTTGGATCAGGTGCCAATGACACCTTTACATGATATTATATGACAAAGGCCAGTGGGCCTTTACATGATATTTTGTAGTCTCCTCATTGGAATACCTTACCAGAACAAATATACCTCATTTTCATGAGGATATTATTTGTCACCATCATCAACAATGCCTGCTAGCCTGTGGGAAGGGTACATATGAAGTTTAGAGTTCTGCATACAAAGATGTTAATACAGGATAGATGAAACTCTTCTTTATAAAAGCACAAAGCGAGGGACACACAGACACTTCCGACTAAAACAATTGATTAAAAAAATAAGCCATCAAGACACAAAAGGACATAGAAGACCCTTAAATATATATCACTAAATAAAAGAAGCCAATTTGAAAAGGCTACATACTATATGATCCAACTATATGACATTCTGAAAAAGGCAAAACTACAGAGATAGAAAAAAATCAGTGGTTGCCAGAGGTTCTGGGGAATGAAGATGGCCGGGTGGAGCACAGGAGATTTTTAGAGCAGTGAAACTATTCTGTATGATATTGCAGTGTTGGATACATGATGTCAGGCCCTTATTAAAACCCATAGGGCCGTACAATACAAAGAGTGACCCTTCATGTAAACTATGGACTTCAGTTGATCATAATGTATCAATTAGTTATTAAAATCTTGCATTAGTGTAGTCTAAGGGCTGCATTAGTTGAAGGTGGGGCAGGAGAGAAGGAGTGTATGGGAATGCTATCTTTTAAACTCATTTTTCTGTAAACCTAAAGCTGCTCTAAAACATAGTCTATTGATTCTTTAAAAACTGAATTGGTGTTTCTGAGAAAAGTTTGGTGTAAGAAAAAAATGATTAGGATTCCAGAGAAAATTGAATTTTCTTTAAGATAGAAATTTTCTTATTTTAAGGTAGAAATCTGGTTTCCATATTTTTGCTAAGATCAGAAGAAACTTTGCATCTTGTCACCCATAAATATTAGTTTTATGTATTTGTCATGTACTCATTATGTATTTATGAGTTTTATGGATTTGTCATGTTGATTTTTTTTCTGACTCTTTTTGCACTATTATAAAATAAGACTTTTTTTCCTCTTAACTTCTATAATATGCTTTCAAGATGTAATTCATTAGTATAAAAGGATTATGGGTGGGGTTTTTTTTGTTTGTTTTTAAGAGTGGACTTTAAGAGAGCTTCATCCTTAAACTAACAGACTTTTCCAGGCTGCAGAGGCATCCAGATACCTTCACGTGAACAACCATCTTTAGATGCTCTACCTAAAATCTTCCTCCAAACCACCAGTCTCTGCCTTAGAGTATTGCAGTTGCCCCCTGACTGGTTTTCCTGTTTGGCCCTGTTCCACACTTGCCACTTATTCTTAGCAGAGCTACCAGATGGATTTCAATAAAGTCAGATCATGCCATGACTCTAAAATCCTGGAAGGAGCCCCGTCTAGTCTGCTCCAGCCACACAAGCCTTTTTGCTGTCCCTTGACTTTGCCGTTTCCGGTCCCTCTACCTGGAGTGCTCTTCTCATGGATATACCTCTGGCTTGCTCCTTCACTTGCTTCAGGTGTTTCCTTACAGGTCATTTGTTCAACTGGTCCTGCATTAACTACTGTATTTCACGTTTGACTTCTTTTCCACTTTTGATCTGTAGCACTTCTTCTATACTATTTTGTTTATTCATTTATCTATTGTGTTTACTCTCTGTCTCTTTTCCCTAAACCATAAATACCATTCAGGCAGGGATTTTGTCCACTTTGTTTACTGCTGCAGTCTCAATAGGTAAAACTTACTTGAAATGTAAAATACGCTCAGTAAATGTTTATTGAACAAGTAAAATAATAAATGATGCTCTTTAAGAGCAAACTTCTTGAGGTTTCTGTAGCAACACCCATAATAAATCTGGGACACTTTCTGGAACAATTTACTTTCACATGGTTTTCATAGACATGGACCTATTTTTAATCCCACTTTCTAATGGAAATGGCTCTAAATATGTATTCCACAGCTATAGAATGTAAGGAATATCAAATGTGGCCTCCAATTCTTTTGAATAATTTTTGAGGACTTATAAGACAGATGTCATAATTATGTAAACAATAATTTTATTCCAAGAGCAACTGTTACATTTAACACTCTTTCCATGTTTTTATTGGTGGTAACGATGTCCAATTTTTTTGAAGTGGTATTTCCAGATCCATATACTTGTTGCATATTTTCCATACCAGCTTTATGATACAGTGTCTTCCAAAGTAGTAGTTAGATTAAAAGTTACCTATTTATTACCTTTTTAAAATCAAAGAATGATTGTGCATTTGCAATGTTTTTTTTGTTTTTTGTTTTTTGTGTTTTTTTTGAGACAGAGTCTCGCTCTTGTTACCCAGGCTGGAGTGCAATGACGCGATCTCGGCTCACCGCAACCTCCGCCTCCTGGGTTCAGGCAATTGTCCTGCCTCAGCCTCCTGAGCAGCTGGGATTACAGGCACGCGCCACCATGCCCAGCTAATTTTTTGTAGCTTTAGTAGAGACGGGGTTTCACCGTGTTGACCAGGATGGTCTCGATCTCTTGACCTCGTGATCCACCCACCTCGGCCTCCTAAAGTGCTGGGATTACAGGCGTGAGCCACCGCGCCCGGCCTGCAATGTTATTTAACAGGTAGGCAGAGAGGAGCTTTTAACCATGCAACTGGTTTAAATAATATCTGCCTCAATCAGTTGAGTTTATACTGACATCTGGAGGCCAAGCCTTGGCACTACATCAGTGCTATTACCCATTTCAGAGCCCATCATAGTAATTAATGCCTCTAAACTTCTTTAAAGTAAGTAAAAATCTGAAACATCTAAAAATAGCAAAAAGTCTTTAAAAAAAAAAAAAAGAGGATTGAACTTTTTACCTTCTACCTAAAGCTCTGTTTGTGAAATTTTTAGTGTGAATTTGGGAAAAGAGGAACAGTGATGATGAGGAACACCTGAGTGCCCAGTAGTTACCGGGCAGCACATGAGTGCTCTCTTTGCAGCAACCCGTTCAATCTTCAGACCACCCTGTGAGACAAGGACTATTATTATCCCCATTCTACAGTTGAGAT